CAGCTTGTGTGTGAGGGGAATAGCACTGACCCAGAGGAAAAGGAGAGTCCAAAGGCTGTCAGGGTGGCCAGAAGGCAGAGGCCATAGGTGAAAGGGTCATTTTCTAAACTGGTTTCCACAGTTTTTGGCTTTGTTCAGGGCCTATCCAAGAAATAAATACAGTCCTCCCTCTTATTCAGGTAGCCTTCAGGCCCATGGGCATAAGAACAGCCTCCCATGCCCTGAAGCATTGCTCTCTTGCCCTACAGGAGTGAGGTAGGGGGACTCCTTGACAGGTGATCCCTGGTGCTTGGGTTCCAACACATACTCTGCTCAGGTCTCTGAAGCACCATGTCAACCTGGTTTTACTCATGACAAAGATAATCTGGGATGTGGACTAGCACAGCTCATTTCTAGAAAGGCATCTTGTTCCATTTCATAGCCTTGTTCACACTGGAGCCACAGAAAATCAGTGGATTCTGCTCAAAGGACAATCTGAATTCTATTTTATGCACTCTTGCCCTGGCTACACCCCAATCCAGACTACATGGCTCAAGTGATATTTGAAGGCTCAAGTGACTACTGGATCAGTCATGGACCTGGAAACTTGTTCTTCTAATTATTGATATGTATGTTCCTAACCAGTTAAGGTGTGGTATGGAGAGTGGCTGCTGAAGGGAGTAGCTGAGGGGCATCTACCAAGAATGGCTGGCAATCTTGGGAATGTCTGTCCCCTGCTTTTTCTGAAAAATCTCCCTATATGGTAACTCCTATAGCCCAGCTCCTAGGACTACAATCCTGCCAGTCAGGGACTCAAGGCCTGTGAAAAGCCATACCTCATACCGTATCACCGCAAATTTTCCTTAAATAATCTTAACTGAAGGAGCCAGTCTCTTGACTACAAGGACCCCTAAGCTGGCTGTGTAGCTAACTTTCATTGGCCGTGATTTGTGGAAGTGATGTTGCCTTGTTGACAGAAGGGACAAAGGTGCTCAGCTTCCCTCCTCCGTGGAACGAGATTCCGATTTGAGCTTTACAAACTCCCGGGCCACCTCGTCATTGCTTCTCTGAGAGAGAATCCGCAGAATGGTCATGCCTGTCTCATCCATATGAATCTTCCGCCCCAGGGGGCACCAGCACGCACAGCTGCCCTTGGCTGCTACCTCCCTCAGAGGCATCACAGCCAGCCCCAGCACCCGATCTTCCCGGGCAAAGCAGTAATCCTTCACACATATCTGTAATTCATAGGCCTCTGGGCCCTCTTCATTTCCCAGGAGGCTGTGAGCACAGGGTGGAAGACAAGAGGGTCAGAGCTTAAGCTTTTGAGTGAGTTCATCCTAGCCTGCCACCCAGCCATGCTTCCCCTGTCCTCTTAAGACTCATTCCCAAGATTACCTCTATCCAAGTCCTTGAGGACCTCCACCCCATAACTTACAAGTGAAATGTCTCATTGTATTTGGGAGTCCAGTTGTTGCTTTTGGACTTGGTTGTGAATTTCCTCTTCTTATCACTTTGGTGTGGGCCAACCATGGTCACTTCCACAAAGGGCCGGAACATACCTGCTGTCTGCCACTTGAGGTCATTAGCAGCCACCACTGCCAAATAAGGGAAACCGGTGAGGAATCCCACCAGGTCTTCCCCATTCTTGAGCCTCAGTGGCAGTCTGTTTGGTGAAAGTCTGGGCCCGAGGACAGAGATTAGCAACCCTGCCTTTGCTAAAAAAGGGCAGGAAAAAGTGAGACACCTATAACTCCATACCACTTACCTTTCACTGTGACCTTGTGCTCCCCAGTACCAGGGTGTGTGAACAAGTCCACCTGAATAGAGACTTCTCCCACAGGATCATCTACACCAGACCCTGAGGGACAAAAGGACAAATGATTCCCCTATTAGGAACACTAGGACTTCAGGCATAATTATTCCAGGTGAAAATGAGGAGTTAGGTAGCTACCACCCTACACCATAAAGCAAGAAGCAATAACCTACAGTAACCCCAGGGAAGAAGGTAATTTGAGAAGGGAAAGGAAGAAGAGAAAGAATGAGGTTACATATTCTAATAAAGTTAAGCTGATACCATCTTAAACTGAACTTCTAACAAAAATATACCAATAATCTCTCAGGAGTCCCAAACATCTCCTAGCTCCTAGATGGAAGAATTTTTCACTAAAAGATGTTGAGAAAGGACAGTAGTGCTACTCTGTAGTTGTGT